GCGGGCTTGTCATCGGCGAGGCCAGCGGGCTGGAGATAGCCCCGGCTGACGGGCTTGACATCAGCCCGGTCAGCGGGCTGGAGAAAGCCCCGGCTGGCGGGCATGACAACGGCGCGGCCGGCACGCTTCACAGCTGGGCGGTCTTCGTACCGCGGAGACGAACAGGGGAGAGAAAGGAAAACCAAAAAACTGTTCAAAAACGAAAATAAAACACGGAAGAAGGAGCGCCGCTTACTGTTTTGGGGTCAGTCGTTCTGTCACGGTGCACACACACGAGGAACACGGGAACGAAGGAGCGAGGAGACACGGAGTAGAATAAATCAAAAGGGTTTTATTAACAAAGGCTGGGGATCACAGGACTCGACACATCAGGATGACGTTCAACGACTGACCAAGGACAAGAACTAGAACACACTTTAAATACACAGGAACTGATGAGGGGAAGACAAGGGACACCTGGAACTAATAAGACAATCAACATGGGAAACACCTGGGAACAATGAACTTGAAAACACGAGACAGAGAAACTGGAAGACGGAGCACATAGGGAGCAAAGACACACACAAAACCTGGCCCAGAGTCTGACAATAAGGTTCTTCGCCTTATTAGTTTGTTTATCTTTTCATAAGATAACATAACTCTGCCATAGCAATATCCAACTGAATCGATTGCATTTTATGCATTTTATGCACTTTATTCCTTTTTCATTTGATATTCATTTAGTAGTTGTTGATTACTCTTGTCTATCTTTTGTTAATAAAATACATTTTATTACACTTGTGTCTTCCTTGTGTTGATAATACAGTAAGAGGTTCTACAAGTTAGATATCCCACCAATATTTCTTATCTGATGTACTCATAACCGCGCCTTAAGTGACACGTGATCCAAAAATCATAATGTCATCGTGATGTGAGTACCTATCACTACACTATTTTGCCTCCCTAGGTTGGCGAAAGCAAATTCACTACGTGTGTGAGTGTGTATATATATATTTCCATTACTTAGAGTAAAATAAATATAAGCTGAAATAAAATAAAATATAAAAAACTTTTAAACTTAAAAATAAACTGTTAAAACAAAATTTCTCACTTTTGTTTTAAGTAGAAGTATTAAAAAAAATAAAACTACATAAATTAAAAACTAAAGCTTAAAAACGATATAAGAAAAAACACTAAGAAAAATGACAAACAACAAAATTGCTAAAACTTGAACTAAAATTAAAAAGAAAACAGATAATATAAACATAAAATCTAATACAAAATATTAACAAACTATCACAGTATATCAATAATACTAAAATAACACTGTTCTGTGGAGATGGATAGCATGTACAATACATAAAAAAACCCCACCTTTTAATAATCAAGCTTAAATCCTAATTAATAACTTCTTGTTATTCTTACAGTTCCCCTCCAACGGAAGCAATCAGATCCAGATCCCAGCACTGAGCGTGGATGGCCTATCCACACCTGTCGTTCTCTCCCCTGGACCACAGAAACCATAACTTGCGATTTAATTCCCTTATCTCCTGCCGTGGTGATTGGCTCCCTCCCCAGCCAATGAAACGCTGAGGACGGCCAATGAAAGATGGGACACTCCATATCAAGTTCTGCTGTGAGTTGGGCGGGGCTTCTGCTCCAATGTTGACTCGGGAGGAGTGCGCTCTCAGCCGGCCTTCACGATTGGTTGACAGAGCGGCCCGATTCTGGGCTTGATGGTGGCATTTCATAGACTATTTGCTCTTTTGATTTTCCTTTGCCTTTTATATGATCATCATGGACGGTTATTTATTTATTTCTGATGTTTCTTGGTGCATCGTGAGATGCATATACCAGAATGCTCATGTGAACTTGGAACTCGGCGATCTCAATTTTATTTTTGATTTCTCACCGTAACATTATGAGTTATGGACCAGACGAGGTATCCTTTGATTGAATCAAGGCATAAAATGATATTTACTTCACAGATGGAGCATGCAAGTTAATTTCTTTCTTCGGCATTACAGAGACACAAATACATCATTTATAGTAACACTGTTATTTAAACATTTTGTGTTTTTTTTCCATGGACAAAGGAGTCCATTTTCCTAAAGTGGCATTGAAAATGCCAGAGGAATGTAACAGCCATTCCCAGGATTTGAAGAGGTGGAACCAGGGAGGAAAAGATACAAAGAGATTCTGAGTGATATCATGATCTGGAATGTATCAATCTTTTTCTTCTATTGCATCATTCCTTTATTTCAGAACCTTCTTCTTGTAGATATATGTTGCACCCATTCCAAGATTTGAAAGATTGAATTTTGTATTCTTGCTTTTCTGTTTTTGTTGTTGTCTTTAGTAATTCTATCAAGGAGCCCTTTCTCTGGCAGCATTGACAATGCAGGTGAAGGTTTCAGAAGTGTCGCAGTGAAGCTTTGCAGTTTCATGCTTTTTTTTTTCTTTAAAAGAAAACACCAGAGGAGACCAAAGACCAGCTGTTTATATACAATCCATCTTAGCATCTCTATCCTTTTTTTTCTCTTGTTTCGCATTTTCTCTCGCTCTCGTCTTTTTATTTTTACACTGCCGCATTAAAGGGCTATAAGAACCTTCACGCAACCAAAACCCTCTCACTTCTGACACTGTATATAACTGATACATCTAACTCGCCAGCTATAAGTGTAAAACACATTAATCCTTGTAAATAAAGTAATTTATGGCAGAACAGGAAGTATGTAGCTTCAGCTGCTTTCGATGTTGTTAGTAGTTTTGTGCAGCCTGCCTCTTATGCTATGTTCGTCTGATGTGTTAAAATCACACTCACGGTTGTTACCGCAAAGCTGTCAACAGCTCGACGTGTCAAAGCAGGCACGCAAATACGTATCAACTGACAAACAAAGTCAACAATTATTTGCATGTCTTCTTGTGCTTGTAGTTTCTCAAGTTTCCTGTGGAGAAATCATGGTGGTTATATATAGAGTTCTGCAGAAAGCTGTAGTCAGTGTTTATGGACAGTAACTGCCTCCACTGCATACAGCCTTTTCTGTACGGCCGTTTATATCATTTCATTTGACCTGAGTTTGCTGAACTCACACATAACATCCTTGTTTTCCGTTTTAAGAACATTTGGGCAACAGTGTCTTTCACTTTAGAACATTTTGGCTCTTTAAGTTGGTGCTTTTTGTTGTTTTAAAGAGTGTTCTGGTTTGATATCTGCGTAATTGTAATGAACTTGGGAGGATTTGCTGGTAGCATGCTGCAATTGCTTACGCTTGTCACCTCTCAGATTGTTCTCTCCTGCATTTTGTGCACCTCATGGCTGATTTGTTACATGGACCAATGCGAACTGTTCTTTTCTCAGTGAATGACTGTTTGTTTTAAGATGAAGCACTTGAGAAAAGCCTTGAAGATCAGTAAATGTTCACCACAGCTCTTGGTGTCCTTTTAATATGTACCGATGATGTCATGGACGCCCACAAGTCGACACATTGAATGTTCTGTTCGGGGGGCATTTTGGGAGTCACCCCCTCACGTTTCCACGTGCTAAGCTCGGTGAACTGATATCAGCTTAACCTCCTGAGACCCTGCATCCTCATATGAGGACATTATATTTTAGTGAATTTCTCTGAGACCACAGTTTTAAGTCTGGATGTCCTGTACAGAGCACATTCAGGGCTTTTTTAGAGATACTAAATGTTTGGATGTTTCACCATGACCACTCCCTCTCCTTGGTCTTCAAAAATGTCTGATATTAATTTAGTGACACTCTTATGGAAATATGATATTTTGTAATTATCATTTAAATCCGACTAATTTTTTAACTGTGTGTCATAAATCAACATCTCACGAAAATGTTATGGGGTTTCAAATCAAAATATGACTTTCTGTTACGAAACAGGACGTTGATTTCATACATGTCCTCATATGAAGACACCGGGACTAAAAGCATGTTTATTATGCATTTTGGGAGACACAACAAATGAATACGGAAAGAAATTATATTTCAATATTCCTATGAAATATTATGTATTATTATGAAAATCTTGTCAATTATTACTCCCATTATTACACTTCCTTTTTCATTACATGTTGCCCCAAAAACACATTAATGTGCAAATTAGATTTAGTTTATAGATACATTATATATAATGAGAAAACCTGTTTATGGCCATTTTACACACATTTTGCATAAAGAAAAGTGGTATATCAAATCATTCTGTTATAACATAGTTGAGAATTATCTTTATACAAAGTTTGGTAAAAAAAAAAATCCTGAAAACTAAAAATGTATTGGTGATTTTTTTATTTTTTAAATCAATTGTTTCAATCAATCAATTCATGTTTTGTTTTTTTGTTTTTTTGTTTTTTTATTGAGTCCCGATGTCCTCTTACGAGGACGTAGCATAACTTATGAATGAAATATCATTTTTATGTTTTTTTTTTTTTTAATGCTCTATAAACAATGTAATGACATTAAAAAAATACTAATTTTTTCCTAAAATGTTTTGCCGGGTCTTAAGAGGTTAACCATGATCAAATTCACACAAAACAAATTGATTTTCATTGGTGAGTTACTTGTGGTTCTTTTACACCATGCGGTGGGCAAAATAATAAGCCTGCAATATCAGATAACTCACTGTGATGATGAATTTAGTGATTTGTGAGTAATACTTTCCCCGATCTTGAGCTTTAATGCAGTGTGGTAAGCCTGCAGTACTGCTTTCAGCCATCTTGTCACTTTCCTAAGCTTGTCTGGATTGCTGGGATTGTTTGTGCCTCTGAATGTCTGTGTGGCTATGCTCTGTAATGCACTGCGAATGTGTTTTAACAGCTGATGTCTTTGAGCTAAACTCCTCCTATTTCCCTTGCTCTGATGCTGCTGTTACTTTTACTGTACATCAGCACTGATCAATACAGTGACAGCATACTGTGCTCGGTTCCCCGAAATGAACTATTACATAGTGGTGACTTAATTTATCCCCAGACGAGTTGTTTACAAACTAGCACGCTTGAGAGACAGAAATAGCGAGCCATATCTTTTTAAAACTATTTCTGTTTTACAAATACAGAAATAAATGATTTAAAAATCATGAATTCAGACAATGTCTAATATTGTAATATTAATGAGCTTTTGTCATGTTGATGAAATCGCTGCCCCCTTTCAGATAATGAAACTAATGCTGCACGTCTCTGGACCTACAATGACTGTTTGGGTATCATAATACCACATTAAATAGGCCTTGTAAAAGTTGGATTTCTGGGTATGTGCTCGTCCAGTGACAAACTATTTTGGTATTTATAGCTTCTAAAAACATTGTTCTTTTTTCTAAAGTCATCCCAGAATAATATGCGGAGTAATATTAATCAGTAATATTTATTGTGCTTATAACAAGTAAAGCTCCAGAAATGTTTATTTCCATCCTAGTCCTAGAACCAAAATTGTGCAGAAATTGTATTTGTGCAAGTTTTAATTGTGCAAGAAAATTGTAAATGATTGTTGGTAACCAGCATGTGTAAATGTTCTAGTCACTGAAACCTTTATGCAAATGAAGACACGCGTTACATAAAAAAGCCATTTATTGAATAATTGATTGGACCGTAGAGATGTTGGCTGAGACGATGTTTCTCCTTTTGTGGAGGAGTCTCTAAATTATTTCCTAATACCAGCATAGATTTCGTACCATGTACAAGTTTCCATTGTAAGACAGTAGATCATATCAATATTTCTCATTGAGAAAACCTGTTTAATGCTTGTTACCTGCTTATGAAGTCACAAATCCAAACACCAAACTGGAGACAATGGAGTTGATACTTACGTGGCTCAAAACTGTTAAGACCTTTGCCTCGTTTTGCTTTTCAAGTTGCTGAATTTGAACATCTGCGGTTGTCGGATGTTGTAAGAAGTCTTTTCACTTGTTTTTTCTCTTTGAAATGTTATGTGGGAACTGTTAATGTATTGTATGATTCTATATTCAATAATGTGTTGGGAAATCTTGCTCTAAGCATATATTTGTGTAAAAAAAAAAAAAAAGCTGCTACTTGTGTGAAGAACGAATACATGGTCCTGTTGGACTCTTGGACTGTTGGGAAGCAGATCTCTGCGGCCTGAGCTCCCTTTCCCAGATGAGAATCACTCTCTGGGAGTTTATTTCATAAAGGGATGGAGAGGCTTTTATTTTTCTGAACTGTCTAAATACTATATTATATGTACTGGGAAAATACAAAACTATTTTTCATCTGCACATGCTACTTTGTTTGTGGATGTGATAGATATTAATCTTGTTTTCTAAAGACAAAAGCGACTCGGAGCTAATATGAAAGTGAATAAAAGGCTATTTTGTTCTTTACATTGTTTAATATGTTCATTTTGTTTATCTATCTAGCTATCATCTATTGGTGTGGCTATCTATCATTCCATATTGTTCGTTCTATCATTCTATTGTTTTATCTGTCTATTGTAATGCTTCTATCTTCAATATAGCATTCTATCATTCGTTCTATCTATTATTCTATCTGTCATTTGTTCTGTTACATTCTATAGTTCTATCATTCTGTTCAACATTCTATCGTTTATCTCTCTATCCATCTATCATTATTTCTATATTGTATATCTGTCTATTGATCAGATAAGTTTTACAATGTATTACTGTTTACAATTACTAACACAAATGTATAAAACTAACACATTATAATTTTTTTATGTAAGTTGTTATTTTTTGTATATGGGCCTTTAAGTACAGTATTAGCTGTTTCACAACAATTTAATGTCACTGGTCTTGTCAGACATACTATTTAATCTCAAATCGTTTTTGTGTGATACTAAAATAATTGCATTATCCCCCCCAAAAAAGAAAGAAAGAAACAGCACCTGATCGATCGAAGAGACCAAGATATCCATAAATAATCCCTCTTTTTTTTATCAACCTCAAAAATGGGTTGAAATAATACATGCCTCTCCTGGTGGGGGAATGTGAAAATTAGTTTAAAAAAAAAAACATCCAAAAACAAATCCCTGAGGCACTCAGTTTTATATGTCATACCTCCTCCGGGACAGCAGCCCTTGGGGAGGAGAGCATAGATATTAATTAAATCCAGGCTAAGACTCAGGCACAGTAGGACCCCCACACAACACGCTGATTAACCAAACCCCACAATGCTCCTCAAACTGACTTTCATTTCTCCCGAAATGCAAAGAAAGAATGATGAAAGCGTCGGGCTTCTTTTTAACGTGTTGACGATGTCTGCGCCATAAGCTACAGAGAGACAGAAGAGGAAAGAACTGTTGATATTACGAAGAGATGCAGACGAACCTGGAATAACCTTCTGAAGATAAAGCATGTTTTAGAAAGTTTGGCAGATAGAACTTTTAGGTCACAAACTGTGGCTATGTTCAGGACAGCAGCATACTTCTCACTCTATTTCTACAGCATGACCTACTAAAAACATCCATTCATAATATGTTAGCGTTGGGCTGGTGAGTTTTGCATCACAAGACACCATAAACTCAATAGAGTTCCAGTCAAATAAAAGTGCAGGACCAAAATCAAATTATTATTCTTTGTAAATTTCAAATAACAAAGCAGAGACTGTAGAATAAATGATATTTGAGAGCATAAGGCCTTGTTTTATTGTCCTGGTGCCTTGGGCGCAGCTGCAGATGGCACATAAGAGACCTGAGCATCGGGTCGCTGATTTTTATTGCGCTGAATGAACTTCAGTAGCTTCACGCTGCAGGTTTGCTTTAATTGCACCTCACCCAAGGTCCCACTGATGAAGATCTTTAGTCAGGCTCATTAACTTCCAATTAACGGTCTCTTTACACCACCACCTGTAAGCACTCTCGGTTTATGTCTGTTCAACATGGATCCACATCTCCAGCAACAATAATCCTGTAGATTAAATGAACATTCTCTAGGGTGGAAGTAAAAAATAAATAAAAATGCATTATGGCCTAACGCATATCAGGGGACTGAATACATGACTCCTCTGTTTGGTTTAACTGCTGATGTTTAGCTTTCAAGAACTGCTGTCAAAGCTGCAAACACAGCTCACTATCCTTGTGCATGTACAGGAAGGCCTGATAATTGGGTCGTTCTTAGGAAACGGTACCATTTGTGTTTAAAAATAGTTTTTTAGCATTTCATTTAAAAAGATTACTGTTCAGTAAAACTGTAAGGGCTGTAAGCATTGTAGACATCATTATATTGCATCCACCCCAATCTTTAGATTAGTGGTCAAAAGGTATCGAAATTAGAGGCAGTGTGTAATTTCTCCACCTCCTAGTGGCACTAAACAAAACTGTAAAAATATTGACTGTTTTCAAACAGGTTTCCCATTTCAGCTGACTTTTAATATTAAAAAACCTGATTTTGCGAAGTATCTTGCTGTATTTTTCATTGCTTTAAGTCCAATCCTGTACTTCCATGTGGTCAAAATTAACCTTAAACTTTGTGTCTTGTGATGTTTTAATATTGTGTATATAATCATTTCAGTGTAATTTTAATAAATGGCGACCTGGAAATTTTACGACATTCTTAAGAAAAACAAACACTAATGTTTTATTTTACATTTTATTTCCATTAAACACTATGCAGTGTCAAATGCATCAAACAATGGGGCTCATTCT